AAGAAACTTCATGAAATCAAGACAAAGAGTTTCTTCAAGGAATTGAAAAAAAAACTGTGCAGAGAGAATGATGACATTGATATTTTAACTTTTGATTATCAGCAGAATCTTCCTCTACCAAAAATTCCAGCTGGAGAAGCATTCTATAAACGTCAGCTTTCGACTCACAATTTTTGCATTCATTCTGGAAGAACAAACAAGGCTCATTTCTACATACAGTGTGTCTACCTTAAAGACTTACCACCCCTGTAAAATTATCATTATCTGATCGATTTCAAAAAACTTTTTTTTGTTGGATAGGTATTCGAAATGTCTATCCAACAAGAAAGTGATTTTACTCATGAACTGTAATCGTGGCCAACTGCGACCAACTTTATTGACCCATATTTGAGAAAGTACTATTAGGGATTTTTTTTTCACAAAAAAAAAATGATGGATTCTGAATCACGATCACTTGAAAAACACCTTCATTGATTTTCATCATCATAAAACACAGGGTGTCCGAAAAAACGAATTATGTTTTTTTTTAATAGGTGATCAGAAAATGTAGTATTGTGGTATTGTTGAGAAAAATTGATGACACATCATTATTGGGGATCACTTTGAAAATATCTGTACCGATTCTCATCATTCAAAAATACGATGTGTGTGAGAAAACAATTAGAAAGAAAAAGTAGGCATTATTTTTTCATCAACTAAAAAAATATATTAATTTGGTTTTTCGAACACCCTGTGTTTAATGATGAAGAAAATCGGTACAGGTATGTTCCAAGTGATCCTGATTCATATTTTCATTTTGAGTGAAGAATTATCAGCATGAAAAATATTGCATACCTATCCATTTTAATTTTTTTCTCAGACAAATTGTATATTCAAATGACGAAAATTGGTACAGGTATATTTGAAATAATCCTCAATGATAATTTGTGATTATTTCTTTCTAGAAAAACCACAGAACTACATTTGCTGATCACCTATTTGAAGAAAATGATGATGATAATCGGTACAGGTATATTTCAAGTGGTACTGATTCAGAATCCATCATCAAGTTTCGTGGAAAAAATCCCTCATAGTACTTTCTGGAATATGGGTCATTTAAATTTGTCGCAGTTGGCCAAGAATTAGATCACCCTCTCGTTGGATGGGCATTTCAAATACCTATCCAACAAAAAAAGGTTTTTTGAAATTGGTCGGATAATAACGATTTTACAGGGGTGGTAAGTCCTTGAGGTGGACACACTGTATATATGATGGGACTACGGCTTGGAAATCACCAAATGAAGTTATTTCTTTTCTATATCACTATATAAAAAATATACTTCCAAATAATATAAAAGTGCTCTATTTATTCTCAGATAATGCTGCAGCTCAAAACGAAAACGCGACAATAGTACAGTTTTATATCTTGTGGTGAGAACAACTCCTATGCAGAAGATTGAACATCGCTTTTCCGAACCAGGGCACAGTTTTCTCCCTTGCGACCGCTGTTTCGGGGTTATAGAAAAATTCTTGCGGAAGGATTATGTTTTCAGTCCTTCAGAATACAGTCACTACATTCGTGAGTCATCGTATATCGGGTTTTGTTTCCATTATGGTCAGTCAGGATATGATTCTCAACTTCAGTGAGAGGGTTATTTCAAAAAGATCATAATGAATGCTGAAAATAAACGATTCAAGATTTCTCATTACCGTATTTTTCAGTACAAGGACCATCTGACGAGCATCGCTGTCAGTGTTTCCACTGACATTCCTGTTTTCGAATCACACCAAATTTTGAGAGATGTTGAGGAAAATCTCAAAGTTGAACCTATCAGCCCTGTTTACAGTTCACTGTTACCTCTGAAGAAGGCAAAATACAAGGATGTAATGCAGTTGGCTACCAACCCCCCTAACAAGATGAGTTATTACCAAGCGTTGACATGCGGAATAGTCGGTGGTTATTTAGTTGCCGAAGTATCTGGTACAGACGATGGCGACCAATGTGACGACTAATAAATGATCTGTTGTTTTATTCACAAGAAATCCATCTTATTGTTCATTTGATAGAATTTCTATTCAGTATGTAATGCAATTTTCTCCAAAATGACTGTTTTTTTTTCTGATGAATCGATAATTGTTCCTCTTGAGTAATAACAAACTGAGTTTCAATTAACTGATCTTTTTTTTTTTCATAATTTTATGACAAGTATGACATATTTCATCGACAGTTTGATGCATGCAGGATCTAGTCGAAAAATCCAAAGAAGGCCTCCATTAAAATTTTAGAAGCATTTCGTATTACTTTTTGGCAAAGGGTGTTTTTCTACTATTTCGACCCTGCTGATTACGAAAATGCCGGTTGCCAGAACGAAATCGCAACCGGAGGTGGGATATTCAAGATGGCGTCCAAAATGGCATCAAAACCGAATTTTGCCGCTAAATCTCCCATGTTTAAGGTAGGAAAGCGACCAAAGGGTATTTTATTCATGTTTTCAGACCTAACATGACTAAATGAAATACACACAATGAATTTAGCTCACATAAAAACTTCGTTTCAATAAGTAACAATGACAAAAAAACGTAATTCCCCTCTCCTTTTGTTTTGTTATTTATTTTTGTGTGTTTGATGCATATCGTTCAATTCAACGTACACCAAGGCGTCACCAGAGCGTTTCTACGTGCGTTCATAAACTGCATCAGTTTTCACCATCGAGGTTGGTAGCGCTGCGACGTGTGGTAACACTGCGCGCTCGACGAGCTGGTCTGCCCATCTCTACTCTCCTGCGACGAGCTTCGACCTGTCTAGCTGTGTTTTTAAATGAAACCAAAACTATTGTGAATGAGTTCAGTTTGTATTGTTTTTTTGTGAATACAACGGAATTGTGATTTTGAATGGTAAGTTGTGTGAATAAACTGTTGAATGTCGCAAACCTGTAGTATGTATTTCCTGGTTGTTAATTACTATACTTCTGGAAAATCAGTTTCTTGCCGTTATTTCTATGTCTTCTTCATTCAGGATATGGGTGACGAAACAGACGAAGTTAACGTAGGGCTCTGTTTAATTTGTCAAAAGAACATTCCCAAACAAACTTTGTCAACGTTTGGAGACAGCGGAAAGGCAACGTTGCTGTCATGTGCTAAACAACGGGAGAGTGCATTTGACAGCCAATTCAGTCGAGCAATTGTGCGTATCATAAGAGTTATCAACGTTGATAAACAGTGGCAATATCATAAGAGCTGTTATTCAACCTTTACTTCTGCTGACAAAATTAAAAGACTGCAAGACAAAAATGATCTCATTGCCGCCGAAGGAAAATACCACAGTTCCTGTCTGCTTGGTCTGCAACAAACCAAAGAGAGCTGGAAGGCAACAGACGCAAACAATAAGGAAAGCCTTCCTTTCATGCAAATCTGCAAAGAGCTTCGTGTTGCCGCCTCGCTCGATCAGGCAAGTATTCAAACACTATCCTATATGTATATTTTGAGTGCAAAATAAATGGTCAAAATCGATGTGATATTTTTCGACTCGATGTCAATTTAACGTTGTTTAGTCATCCTAGACTTTGAACCTGAGCAAAATGCGTTTCTATTTACTTTGTACAGGTTTTGACATTGGATGACGTGTGGAACAGATACAAAGAGATTGGGAACAGTATAAACGCTATCGTTTTCATATCATTTGAATCTAGGCGGTCAACATTCAAAAGTAAACTGGAAGAAAAAGTTGGGGATGTGTTTCAGTTTTTTCAGCCTCTTCACCGCGGAGTCAGTGAACGCCGGATGCTTCTGATTCCGATTGGCCGAGGTAAACGACTTGCAGCTGATGACTTTTATGATGACGATGTTAAACAAATGCCTAGTTTTGAGCCGTCTAAGGACAGTGACTTCCAAACTCTCGTGCATGCTGCTTTGAAAATAAGAAGTGATTTGTTGTCCTGGCTTGGTCACTCTGGTTTGGAACTTTCGAAAGAAATTACTGCCAGACTCATTACACCTGTTTATAAATGTGCTGTTGAAGGTAATGGATATTTTAGACACATTTCGTAGCGGCGGAGACGATGAAATTGACAGCGATGATGACAGCGACGATGATGATGAAGAAATGCATGAGGAAAATCTTCGTTTGACAGGGGATGTACCTACATCTATAGCACAAGACATAGTTTACGCGGTGAGCAAAGGAAAGAAGTTTACTCCAAAACACATTGGCCTGGCTCTGACAGTTCACCAGGCAACAAGGAGCAAGAAATTGGTTAACTTATTACATGCAGCAGGTCACTGTATGACTTACAACAATGTTTTACAGGCTGATTGCAGCCTAGCGGCTCTATCATTAAGGAGTTTTGACAAAGAATCTGGTGCTATTGTCCCTCTTAACTTCAAACCTTCTTCTGAATTGGATGTTATTGATCCTATTCTTCACGTCACCGCTGACAACATTGACATTTTAACAGATTCTCTTGATGGCAAGAAAACTTTCCATGCAACTCAAATGGTTGCATTTCAAAGAAAATGTGCTGACACTTCTAAGTATCTCGCTGAAGTTACTATGGCAAAGCAAACCACTCTTCATATTCCCAAAGAGTTGAACGAATTGCAAGTAGTTCCAATTTTTGACAAGCAGGAGCCGCAATTTAAAGAGCCAGTTGATGAATCGTGGTACACTGCTTCCAATCCTTTCAACTTTGAGGCAATGCCCAAGACAGTATTGGATTCGAGACTGAAAGACTTTACATTTCTAATGGTTCGGTCTGAAAATGAACAGCAAATTGGTTGGACGGAATTCAACAGAAATGAAACAAACAGCAATCCAGATGTTTCTGCCATGGGTTTCATGCCCTTAATTCTCAACCCTGCTCATGAGTTTTCAACATTACAGAATGTTCTTCTCAGAAGCGTCTCACTAGCAGACAGGTTTGGGAAAAAAACATGTCGTCGTTACAGCTGATCAGGCAGTTTACTGCAAACTTGTAGAGCTTTGGTGGGCATCTCCTGTCTTCCAGAATCGCGTCGTTCTCCGAATGGGTGGTCTTCATATTGCACTCAATTTCATGCATGTCATCGGCAAGCACATGGCCGGCAGTGGACTTGGAGACTTATGGGTGGCAAGTGACTTGATGGCGGAAGGATCTGCAACTAAAGTTCTCGATGGGAAAGCCTATAACAAAGGCATGAGAGCTCACAAGCTTACTTTACAAGCTTTTTGGCATCTTTTGCATCCTTTGTTTCTCAATTTTCTTGATGAACAGGATTTCTCAGAAGCAGATAGTTTATCATCAAGGGAAGTCAATCTTGATGATCTCAGAGAATATGTGAGTTCTCCGTCTCTTCTGAAATATTTGTCTTCATTTTTAAAAAATAGATCAGAAGCAGACAAAAACTTTAAGCTTTGGTGGATGTACATAGATATGGTTTTGACTCTCCTCATGTTCACAAGAGGTATTCGGGCTGGAGATTGGGGAAGCTATCGTGGTTTCCTCTCGGACATGCTTCCTTATATAGCTCTCTATGATCATGGAAATAACCTAAAATCTCTATCAGTGTACATTGCTGACATGAACCAATTGCCACCTAAAGTGGAGGCCGGCTTTCGATCTGGCGACTTTGCTGTGTTAAGAACTAAGCAAAAATTTTGCCAAGTAGATCCAGATCATGCACAGGAATGGGTTGTTGGCACATGCAAAGATGCGTCTGGTGGCATTCTGGGCATAACACAAGACGTCAGAACATTACAGCGATGGGCTCTGTCTCTTCACTGGAGAAGCAAAATTTCGGAGCAAACATACAATTTATTTAAAAAACCCCCAAGTGAGACCTGTCACAAAGAAGAGACACGTGGAAGACGTGCTAGAGATGCACATGATGAAAACTCAATTTTACAGGTTATGGAAACATATAATCTTGCCACTGTAAATAAATCTAATGTACTGCACAATGTTGCCACTAAAGATGTAGCTACAGCAGAAATTTCTGATGCCCTTCTGACTGCGAAGCAACGGGGCATAGTACTAGTTCAAGACTTCGTTTGTCAAAGGCTTGTTAAAAGTCCTGAAAGTTGCAAGGTTACAGTTAGCTACCATGCCACGATACATAAAAACAACACACTTACATTTGCTAATCTGTACACAAGAAAGACAAGTCAGGATGCTCACAAAAAACAAGTATTTCAAACGGACAGAGACTTTTTCCGACTGTTGATATCTGCATTTGACGGCGGAAGAAAAATAGACCTGAAAAAAATTTTGAAGCATGAGCTCTGTCAGGTGCCTATTTCATTAGCTACGTTAGATGGTGAACTCCGAACAGCTGAAAAAGTATCCTTAGTTGAAGAAATAGTGAAAGGGGTTGAGTGCCTAAAACATCTGCCTGAAAATGATAAATCAGACGCTATTCTGATAATTGATGGCATGGCATTTGTCTTGTCTTTGGGCCGTCCAAACCAAGCTGAAACCTTCGGGGATTATGCTGCCTGCTTCATTAAAAGAATACTATATTATGGATACAAGTACAAGGAAGTTCACGTTGTCTTTGATAGATACCGTGCACAATCAGTTAAAGTTGGAACGAGAAAAAAAACAGCCAAGGGTTATGCTCCTGTGCGCAGAGACATTGAGGACTGCAACGTGCCGCTGCCAAAGAACTGGAGTAACTTCTTGTTTTTATGAGAAAACAAAACTGATTTATGCAGGTTTTTTTCCGAGAGAATTATGCAACATAACTTTGGCCGGAGAGGCGGCTTCACTGAGGAAGAACATGCTCAGTCCACGAATTTGCGTCGGAATGTTGATTGCCTGAAATCATCACACGAGGAAGCTGACACGCGCATGGTTCTTCATGCCGTTCACACCACAGCTCATAACGTTGTTGTGATGACGAGGAACACCGACGTTATTCTTCTTCTCATCTACCACTTCTCTAAAATGAAATGCTCCCATTTGTGGGTAATGAGTGGCACTGCACGTGACACCAAGTACATTCCTGTACATGATATATGCAGAAAGCTTATGCCGGAACAAGTCTCCCATCTTCTTGCTTTCCATGCAATAACCGGCTGCGATTCGACGTCGAAGTTGGCGTCTATCACGGAAGTTGAAGCATGGAAGGCTTTTTCTGGGACAAACTGCGAGCTTCTGGGACGCCTCGGACAGTCGCCACTTGAGGAGGACGTCCTTAGCAATGTCGAGAAATTTGTCGTCAAACTGTATAAGGTAAAAATGCTTACACTTAAATATCTTCCAGATGATATTGAATTAAAATGAAGTGCACACAGAAATTCTGATTTCATACAGGTTGATTCCAGCATCACATGCTCAAACGATGCACGAAGTTATTTATTTGAAGCTGTAAGAAAGCCAGAATTTCTCCCACCGACAACTGATGCACTTCGTCTCCATATTAAGAGATGCAACTACCAGGTAAGCGTACCTAGAACGCAAATTGACAGAAATGAAAACGGAATGAATATAATATATATATTTTTTTATCTCAGGTGTGTGTTTGGGAGAATGCGCATATCCCCAAACCGTCACTACCTAGGCTGCAGGACTGTGGCTGGATTGTGCAGAGAGAACAAGTTGTTCCTCGTTTAATAACACTGGATCCCATTCCTAAGACGTGCCCAGAAATAGTTGTCTGTCATTGCAAAGGACATTGTAATACAAAAAATTTCAGTTGTAGAAAAGCCAATGTCTCTTGCATCAAACTGTGCACTTCCTGTAAACGTTCTTGCCTGAACTCTGGAGACACACAATAATTTCACTTCTTTCTAAAGAAATACCTTTTGTTTTAAGTGTTACATTAAATGTCTCAAATGTGCATAGAACGATATAATACATTAGTCAAAGTATATTGTTTGCTAAAAACCAAAAAGGGCAACTTCGACCGCTTTTGTCATATTTTTTAGAAATTATATTCAACGAACGAGTTTAGTTTGTGTGTTTTTGTTTTCTTTATGTCTGAAAACATATAAAGAGACCCTTTGGTCGCGTTCCTACCTCAAACAAGGGAGATTTAGCAGCAAAATTCTGTTTTGATGCCATTTCGGACGCCATCTTGAAAATCTCACTTCCGGTTGCGATTTCACTTTGGCAACCGGCATTTTCGAATTCAGCAGGGTCGAAATAGTAGAAAAACACCCTTTACCAAAAAGTAATACGAAATGCTTCTTAAAGTTCAATATCCCAAAAATTTGTCTAGTCTACAATGGTTTCTTGCATATCCTATATGTATATGTCGACATATCATTTGGTTAACTATACAGTGTGTCCCACATACCATGCTCACCATGGGTATCTATTTAACGGTGAGAGATACGAGGTCGGTTAAATGACACCAAATGTGGGGTTTGTCAAGGCCAACTATAATGTGAAAAACTATTTTGATAAAATCTATTCGTTTTTGTTTTATACGCAAAAAATAGATTTTGATCATTTTCATGTCTCCTCCGTAACTTCTTTATTTATGAAAATATTCAAATAGGAATTCCACATTCTCATGGCAGTTTTTCAAAGTGATTTCGAAAATAATATGAAATTTATACCAACTCTTCTAGAATTTGAGATATCAGCACCAACTTTAGTTTTTCAAAAGTAGGTCATAGCTCACTTTGACTTAGTTACGAATAACTTTTTTCTCTCTTACAGATGATATGTCGCAGTAATAGTTTTGTATTGATAACAACAGAGTAATCGTCATTTATACAAAAACAAAAAATTATTTGGAAGTCGCCATCTTGAATTCATAAATTTTAACAAAAAAATCATGATCTCCGACCTCGAAAACCCCTATTTACCAATTTTGAATGGAATAGGGCCAAATCTCGTCCACCATCTTGAAGCAGCCATTTTTTTTAATTTCAACAAAAATTCCATAACTCCGATTAACTTGAAATTTGGCAGGTGTTCATAATTTCGGTGACAATTCATTGCGATTCCATTTAAAATTGGTAAGTGGGGGTTTTTGAGGTCGGAGAGTATGATTTTTTTGTTTAAATATATGAATCAAGGTTGAGTTTAAAAACAGCGTAAGCTGACACTCCGCCCTTTCAGTTTGATCTCACTTCGACTCACAAAATTTATATGTAATCATTTATTGTTTCCTCATTGTGAATTAAGACGCTTTATTATTATTATTATTATTATTAATTCAAGATGGCGGCTTCCAAATAATTTTTTGTTTTTGTATTAATGACGATAACTCCAATGTTATCAACACGAAACTATTGCTGCGACATATCATCTGTAAGAGAAAAAAAGGTTATTCGTAACTAAGTCATAGTGAGCTATGACCTACAATTGAAAAACTAAAGTTGGTGCTGATATTTCAAATTCTAGAAATTCACTTTGAAAAACTGCGAAGAGAATTCGAAACTCCTATTTGAATATTTTCATAAATAAAGAAGTTACAAAGGAGACATGAAAATGATCAAAATCTGTTTTTTGCGTATAAAACAAAAACGAATAGATTTTATCGAAATATTTTTTCACATTATAGTTGGCCTTGACAAATTCCACATTTGGTGTCATTCAACCAACCTCGTATCTCTCACCGTTGAAAAGATACTCATGGTGAGCATGTTAAGTGGGACACACTGTAGTGAATTGTATGTAAAAATGTCACCTTCGAATCTCAAATGATTTCCTTTTCCCAAAATAGAAACTAAATTTTCTAGACAGTCTTTTGTACTTTCTCAAATATTAACAGAAGTGGATCTGCGCCCTTCTTGCGGCAAGGTCCTAAATTATTGTAATAAACGGCGCCCCACGTTGGGCGCCAGATGAGGAGGTACGGGTTCAGAGCAATCGATTTTTCTGGAATGCTTCCCCATTTCCGTTTATTGCAATAATTGGAGTTGGTATAGTAACGATATTGTAGGTTATACTCTGAAATGAAAAAAGGTGTTATAAACTACAGATTTTCATGTGATTTTGAAGCACATACATATCTGGCCTACACTGAGAAAATCAATGAAAATTTGTTTAAATAAATAAAATGGTGGTTTCGAGTGAGTTTCATCAAACACAACACATATTCGTGATATCACCTATTTGAGTGATCAATACTTAGACAAACCTATTGCATACCACCTCCGAATATTATTAGTTCAAATTATTATTCACCACTACATCAAATAACATGTTCCATATCAGGTAATTGATGAATATCTCTTATGTAGTGGTATTTGGATTGTGTTGAATGTTACTCCTCTGATAATTCTATTTATCACTACGTATTAGTGCGTACGGTATTAATAATAGGTTTACTTTTTGTTATGTACAAATCTACATCAGAGAGTTATATGCCGAAATCATGAAGCCGATCGTCGACGTTCGTTTTTTTTAATGTAGTTGGCTTGGCGTTGGCGTGGTCGTTTCATCAGTTCATAGTTTATCTTTCGTTTCGTTCGTCTCGTGAATTATGAATGAAATAAATTTCATTGGCCCATGGAGTTTCATTTGCAGTGCATGTGTATAGTGTTAGTACGTACTTACCTACAAACTGTGATACTGTGAAGTGTGAACTGCACCTGATAGTGGTAACTCGAAGAGTTGTTACCGGTGTTCAACAATAAGTAGAATACCTATTCGTTTCATTTCAGAACTGAAATGGCAGGTGAACGATGCACGCGTTATTGAGGAGAACGAGGAAATCTCAATTTTGTTGCACACAAAAATGAAATTCACACAATAATTCGATTTTTCTCTCATTCCCAACTTCATTCATATACTCAGATAACTATCTCTACTACCTACCTAATTATCATAACATACTTGCAAATCATTGAGATTCTGTTATATTTTCCAGTTTCTTCCCCAAATAAATATGTCCCTGACGACGGTAGAGAAATATTGATTCAGAGTTTGAACAGACAAAATTGAACAGACAAAAATGAACGAATCTATAAGAACCTAGAAATAACTAGTTAGTAGTGGTGAATATGAATTTGAATAAGTAGAGTAGAACTTCATTGTTTATTTTTATAATAACCGTATAGGTAGGGTACCTAATAACTGGTGCTTCAGTATGTCATATTGCCTCGATCATACTTTTTTGTAGTGGTTATATTTGATGAATGTAGTAACTGTCGTCTATTCAACCACAACGTTTGGTATGGTATAATGATCTTCAGATATTTACAATGTATAATTTCTCTCAGTGTGAATACGACATACCATATTACATACCTAAAACCAGGGACACTCTGCTCTTTGGAAATTCAAAGATATGAGATTCCCCACGAGGCTTTCAGAATCAGTGAACTTATCAAAACCACTCAGATCAAGAATCCATTAGGCACTAGGCAGAAAACGAGCAGAATACGGAACTTGATGAAGGGTAACGTTCTGTATGGTTTTGGTACACCTGTAAATCTTAAAGTAGTATATCGTTCCACTGATATGTTTTGGTATACCTCAAATCTACCCAGCAAACACAACATGGCTGGCGATTCAATGGCCCATCGATTTGATCGATGACATACTAAGGCACTATTTTTTGATGTTGAGAAAATACATGTTCATTAATGTTTCAATAATATGATACGTATGTTGCACTGGCATTGTTCTGGTACATTAGTGTATCTTCTATGGATCAGGATTACACTATTTTCACGGCATTGAAGAATCAATGGGTATGATCCATTTCACAAAGATCACTGAAACAGTAC